TTATTTATTTATTTATTAATTTATTTATTTATTATGTATATAATATTCTGTCTGTGTGTATGCCTGAAGACCAGAAGAGGGCACCAGACCTCATTACAGATGGTAGTGAGCCACCATGTGGTTGCTGGGAATTGAACTCAGGACCTTTGGAAGAGCAGGCAATGCTCTTAACCGCTGAGCCATCTCTCCAGCCCATCTTTTGTCTTCTTATCCCAAGCATTTAGTTATAATGTCCGGCAATCAATAAGTAAAGGAGTAAGTAAAAGTATCAAAGATAGAAAGGAGAAGGCAGGGTGGGGTAGATGCAAACCCTAACGGCTCCATTTTTGTCAGGCTGGATTCCTGACTGACTGATGAGAGATCTTCACCATGCTGAACCTCAGATGGATTAAGGACAAGCCAGTGATGGCTGTCATACTTAGTAAATGAAGCCCTGAGTTCAGACTCTTTTTCTTTTTCTTTCTTTCCTGTTTTTTGTTTGTTTGTTTGTTTTTTGTTTGTTTGGTTGGTTGGTTTTGGTTTTTTGAGACAGGGTTTCTCTGTAGCTTTGGAGCCTGTCCTGGAACTAGCTTTTGTAGACCAGGCTGGCCTCGAACTCATAGAGATTCGCCTCTCTCCGCCTCCTGAGTGCTGGGATTAAAGGTGTGCGCCACCACTGCCCGCCTCAGTCTCTAGCCATGAGTTTAAAGTCAACCTGAGCTACATACAACAAAACAAAAATCAAATGATGGACTCTGATTTATTGTTCCTCTTGCAGCATATTTAATAAACTCTTTCACTTTAAAACTTCAATAACAAGCCAGGCAGTGGGGGCACATGCTTTTAATCCCAGCACTTGGGAGGCAAAGGCAGGCGGATCTCTGTAAATTTGAGGCCAGCCTGGTCTCAGAGTAAGTTCAAGGACAGCCAGTGCTACACAGTGAAACCTTGTCTTGAAAAAACAATAAATAAATAAAATATAAAACCCAAAAGATATCATTTAACTTTGTTTTCTTTTTGAGACAGGATCTCACTATGCAGCCCCACTGGATCTTGATCTCTCCAAGTAGACTAGGCTGGCCTTAAACTCACAGAAATCGACCTGCCTCTGTCTCTGGAGGGTCAGGATTATAGGTATGTGCCCCCACACCAGGCTATCATTTAATCTTTTAAAAGTCTTTGTATGCATGTATATGTGTGAATTTAGTTTGGGAGAAGGTTTCACTTTACAGCCCAGGTTGATTCTCTCAGCAAGTTTCCTGCCTCAGTCTCCTAAGGGCTGGCCTTACAGGTATGCACCACTGTGAATATAGGGATCGAGGGGGCTTACAGACGTAAATCGAACCACGTGCTTAGACTTTTGTTCTTGCTCTTTGAAGCAGGAGGTCATGTAGTCCAGGCTGCCTGAAACACACTGTGGAGCCAAGACAGCTCCTCTTCCTTTCTCTACTGCCACAGCACTGGCAGTAGAGACCTGTGTCACCAGGCCTGTTCAGTTCACTCGAGGTAGCTAAAACTCCCAGGAACACAGTAAGAACTCCAAAGCCAGAAGATCTGTAATCAATACCATTTGCTCCTCTTCTACACGGCCAAAATGCTAATTTTCTTCTTTTCTTTCTCAAGATGCTTTCTCTGTGGTCCTGGAACACACACTATAGAGGAGCCTGCCCTTGAACTCAGAGATTCGCCTGCCTCTGCCTCCCGTATGCGTGCCAGGATCAATGTCACTCCACGTTAGTTTCCAATGGTTTATATTTTGATTTTCCTAGTCTTTTCATGCTTCCTCCCATTGTTATTAGTTTTTTATTTCTTTTTAAAATTAGTTCCACTTATTTATTATTCTATGAATTTAGGTGTATTGTCTGCATGCATGTCTGTGTGCCACATGAATTCCTGGTGGCCTCAGAGACCAGAAGAGGGTGTGGTCGGCTTTCCTGGGACTGGAGTTACACAGGATTGTGGGCTTCAGTGCTGGGAACCGAACCCTGTGGAGGACAGTCAGGGTGCCTAACAGCTGACCCGTGTCTCCGGCCTGTTCTCTGTTTCTGAAAGCTCCTTGATACTTTCTCAGTTTATTGCTAATTATGTGCTGGGTTCAGCTCGTACTAGAACTGGTGATGCATTAAAGAGGAGCTCGAGAGGAGCTCAGTGGCAGGACACTTGCCTGGCACACAGGCCCTGGGCAAATTTCCCGGCAAGGTGAAAATAAAAGGGCAGGAGGGTGTGGGGCAGAGTGGCGGTGGTACACACCACGGCTCAGCACTCTGGAGGCAGGGACAGAAAGCTCTGTGAGTGCAGGGTCCGCCTGTCTACACAGAAGCTATGCACGATGGCACCCGCCTTTAACCCCAGCATTCAGGAGTCAGAGGCAAGTGGATGTTTGTGGGTTTGAGGCCAGACTGGTCTACAGAGTGAGTTCCAGGACAGCCAGAGCTGTTACACAGAGAAAGCCTGTCTCAAAAAGCAAAAGCAAAAATAAAACCATAAAAGTCAAACCTTCCCATAAGAACAACATCATGTGATGTAACTGTCATCTGCTACCATTTCTTCCTTATCATCATCTTTGTGTGTGTGTGTGTGTGTGTGTGTGTGTGTGTGTGCTCATCTCTGTGCATGTGCATGTATGTATATGTAGAGGTCAGAGGTCAACCTGGGGTGTCTTTTCTCAAGTGTCAGCACACCCTATCCCACTCTTTTTTTTTTTATATTTTATTTATTATGTATACAATATTCTGTCTGTGTGTATGCCTGCAGGCCAGAAGAGGGCGCCAGATCTCACTACAGATGGTTGTGAGCCACCATGTGGTTGCCGGGGATTGAACTCAGGACCTTTGGAAGAGCAGGCAATGCTCTTAACCGCTGAGCCATCTCTCCAGCCCCCTATCCCACTCTTTTTGATTTAGGGTCTTACTGTGTAGTCCTGGTTGAACTTGAGACAGACCAGACTGGCCTCAGACTCAGAGGTTCACCTGCCTCTGCTGCCTAGTGCTGGGATCAAGGGTGTGTGCTACCACGCCTAGATCACCCTTGTTTTGTAAGACAGGGTCTGTCATCGTCTGGCAGCTAGCCAAGTGAGCCAAGCTGTCTGTTCTGGCCAGTGAACCACAGCGATCTCCTGTCTCTGCCATCCCAGTGCCACAAGATTAAAGTGTACACCATCTGACCTTTTTTTTTTTTTTTAATTTGGGTTACGGGGATTGAACTCAGCTTACCTGGCCAGCAGCTCCTTAAGCAAGTTTACTGAGAGCCCCTTATCTCCTGACCCAGGAGCAGGGTAAAGCATAAATGTCCTCATGTGTTCATGGTCTGGTAGTTAATAAAGTCACACATGACAATAGGGAGGTGTGGGGCACAGGAGGTGGCTCGGAGGGTAGTGTGCTTGAGGTACAGACGTGGAGATCTGAATTTGAATTTGAATTCCTTGAACCCACCAAAAGCCACTTGTCATGATGGTATGTGTGCTGGGGGAAGGAGGCTCAGGAGAATCCCAGGGGCTCAAAGGTGAACCCCAGCTTCAGTAGAAGATGCTCATTGTCAGCCTCTGGCCTCACACTGACACACAGGCTCCCACAGGGGAGGACTACATAACACAGGCCAGGCAGTCTGGAGAACGAAGGGCAGCCTGTAACCCCAGAATTTACACAGAAGGCAGAGGCAGGAGGGCTGACACCCGGAGGATGAGTGGGAGTGTATGGGGGGGCATAGCTGGGAGTTGGGGAGAGTTCTCAGCAGAGGGGTCAGAGTGTGAAGGCTAGCACAGAGGAAGAGGCGGCTGCAAGACCCGGCAGGGTACACTGGAGCTGGCGAAAGTACCAACACGGCTAGGCAGTGCAAGAAAGGACAAGCTGGGAGCTGGAGAGATGGCTCAGCGGTTAAGAGCACGACCTGCCCTTCCAAAGGTCCTGAGTTCAATTCCCAGCAACCTCATGGTGGCTCACAACCATCTGCAGTGAGATCTGGTGCCCTCTTCTGCTGTGTAGGCATACATGCAGACAGAACACTATATATGTAATAAGTATATCTTTAAAAAAAAAAAAACACAAAACAAGCAAGTTTTAAAAAGACATAACACTGCATACATAATAAATAAATCTTTCAAAAAATACAAAAATAAATGAATTTTAAAAAGACATAAAAGATTAGTGTCTGTGTGTGTCCAAATACATGGCTAGGACCATGCGTATGCAGGACACTGTCAGAAGAGAGCACTGGGTCCCTGGAGCTGGAGGTATGGGTGGATTTCACTTTGCAGCCCTGGAGTTCACTCTGTAGACCAGGCTGGCCTCGAACTCAGCGATCCCCCTGCCTCTGCCTCCTGAGTGCTGGGATTAAAGGCGTGAGTCACCACTGCCTGGCAAAACAGAGTTTATTTATGTAGCTTTGGCTGTCCTAGAACTATGGCTATCCTAGAACTACCTCTTGTAGACCAGGCTGGCCTCGAATTCACAGAGATTTCCCCGGCCTTTGCTTCCTGAGGGTTGGGATTAAAGGTGTGCACCACCACCGCCTGGCCCACTGCTAGACTCTCAATGGCAAAGACTTTTGCCTCACTGGCGCCCTCGTTTCCTAGGGTCTCTAAGGGCTGCTAAGGCGTTGTACTTGATCCACTAGTGTTTCAGTTTGATACTGACACCTGCTGGTCACATATGGCTCAGCAGCCTTAACCCTGGCACCTGCTTCCTGCCTGTACTGGAGGCCAGGACAGGCTGTGCCAATCTTACCTGCCCGAGCCTGAAGATACTAGTGATAACGCTGTTCTCCCGCACCACTCGATGACCACATTAAAAATCCGGACTCTGCATCGTTCTCAGTACCACAAGAATATTAGGCAGCAAGAAAGAAGCAGTTGAGGCGGAGGGTGTGCAATCGGCCCTTTCCACCTCAGAGTCCGTGCTTCCTACAGAATTCCATTCCTTCTGACCTTTGTCTTATTTCTAGGTTGCTCTCGGGACACGGGCCTTCTTGATGACAGTGATGATGAACCGGAGGTTGAGAGTAGGTGGGCGGGGCTTGGGGTGGGGCTAGACCAAAGGGCCTCTTAGGAGCTTCTCCATTCTGTTAGCTCTCAGCAACAGCGGAGGCGAGACTGGCACCCAGCACCCAGCAGGTGAGAGGGTGGCTGTGAGAGAAGGGCAGGTTTGGGGGTGGCAGTGTGAGATACTTCTACCCATTTACCCTGACCTTCCTTTCTGTATTGGGGAATCCTCGAGTCCCCACGAGAACCACTGTAGCGGATGGGGCAAGGCATATCTGGAAGAGAGACCTGGCTTGGGATGAGGGCTGAGTGCAGGCTGAGGGAATGGAGGTGCACAGTGGGGCAAGACGGAGGTTTAGAGACGTAAAGTCTCTTTGGGCATGGAAGGTCAGTGGCACAAAGCGAAAGCTTAGCTAGGCTCGAGGGTCACGGGGATGACACAGAGGCTAGAAAGAGAAGGCCAGAGACGAGAGACCTTGAGGGGACGGGGGATCTAACTGAAGATGGCATAGGGGCAATGGGGGGCCAGGAAGGCAGGAAGGCTCATATGGAGCAATCACCCCCACTGTGGAGGGCAGCCCTACCAAGCCCAGGGCAAGCCAGGAACAAATCAAGGCTCCAGGTTCCCGGTGGAGTGGTTCAGCTGGGGGAGAAAGCCCCCTGGCTAGTCTCCCTCTGCCTCTTCAGACTCCCATTTTCATTTGGGGGAGAGGGTGAGGTTGCTCCTCATTGCGGTCACAGCCACATCCTGCAGAGCAGGGGAGGGGGAAGTAAGAAGCAAAACAAGCAGAAGCACAGTGGAGGACCATGGCCTCGCCTTAGGCACCGGCTCCACCACCAGGAGGGCCTCAGCTCCAACCCCACCGCTGCCGCCCAGCCTTCCTCAGTGGGCTGACACCTCATTGGTACCACTCCTTGACAGAAGGGGCTTTGGGGGGATTATTTAACTTGTAGCCTATTTTTTTTACAATTTTTTTATTTTAAATTATGTATATGAGTTTGGCTGTGGAGGTCAAAGGTGTTGGATCCCCCTGAGGCTGGAGTTATGGGCAATGGTGAGTCGCCTCTGAGTGTGTGGGTCAAGGCACCTCTCCCACTCCTTGAAGCCGGTTTCATCATTCACTAGGACAAGTAGCTTAGTTCTTGTAGCCTTGCCAGGTGGTGGTGGCGGTGCATGCCTCTAATCCCAGCACTTGGGAGGCAGAGGCAGGCCTGCTCTACAGAGCAAGTTCAAGTTCCAGGACAGGCTGGACTGACTATACAGAGAAACCCTGTCTCAAACAAACAAACAAACAAGAAGTTCTCTTAGCCTGGAGACTGGAAAACCGAGACAGTTCATATTAAGCACTTGCACACAGTAGGCCTCTGAAAATGCCAAGTGCTTCCCGCCCCCTCCCGACAGGATTTCTCTGTTTAACAGATCTGGTTGTCCCGGAACTCACTCTGTAGACCAGCCTGGGCTTGAACTCACAGAGATCTGCCTGCCTCTGCTTCCCAGGCGCTGGGACTAAAAGTGTGCGCCGCCACCACCTGGCACCAAGAGTTCTTATTAGGATTCTAGAGGCCCGTATATTCCCACTTCTTTTAAGGTTCTATGGTACCCTACCGACATGGGCTTTTTTGATTTGAAGCCTGGAGACACGAGGGTAGTGCCTGTGTTTCTTGATGCAGGATACACACAGTTAGCATCCGAAACTGGTATCTGTTCAAATTCCCTGCCAAATGGGCACTAGGCTCTCTCTCCATCGTGGCAGTAGTTTCCTGCTCTACGAACCCAGTTATCCCCACGCCCCTCCAGCCGAGGCTCTCCCTGCTCCTCTGTGCTGTTTTGGAGAGGCACAAGTCTAAGTTTACAGAAATAAAGGAAAAAGCAGAAGCAAGGCTAACAGGATGGAGGGGCCCCAGGGGAGAAGGAGGACAAAGCAGCCAAAACAAAGAAAATGGGGAAAAGCCATTTCTTTCTCTTTCTCTAAGGACGCCTGTGGCCTCTGCTACTGACTGACCACATACCCACCCTGGTACCATGGAGTCCTTCAGCTCAAAGAGTCTGGCACTACAAGCAGAGAAGAAGCTGCTGAGTAAAATGGCTGGTCGGTCCGTGGCTCATCTCTTTATCGACGAGACCAGCAGCGAGGTGTTAGATGAGCTTTACCGCGTGTCCAAAGAGTACACGCACAGCCGGCCCAAGGCACAGCGGGTGCTCAAAGACCTCATCAAGGTGGCTGTCAAGGTGGCCGTGCTGCACCGCAGTGGCTGCTTTGGCCCTGGGGAGCTGGCTCTGGCTACACGCTTTCGCCAGAAGCTGCGGCAGGGCGCCATGACCGCGCTCAGCTTTGGTGAGGTGGACTTCACCTTCGAGGCCGCTGTGCTAGCGGGCCTGCTCAGCGAGTGCCGGGACATTCTGTTGGAGCTGGTGGAGCACCACCTCACCCCCAAGTCACATGACCGCATCAGGCACGTGTTTGATCACTACTCTGACCCTGACCTGCTGGCAGCCCTCTACGGGCCTGACTTCACTCAGCACCTGGGCAAGATCTGTGACGGGCTCCGGAAGCTGCTGGATGAGGGGAAGCTCTGAGGCCCCAGAGCCCAGCACACTGGACTTTGGCAAAAAATGACTGACCGGGCTTTCTAACCCCGCTCAAGTGCTTTTCAATCCCCTGGCTTCATTCTCCCCCAAGGCTGTTGTTGACGCCCCGGCCGCTCCCACCCCCCAACTGCTGGCAGAGCACAGCAATGGGCCAACTGGGGCGGCTCTCCCATCCCGTGCCAGCAAAGGAAACAGCTGATTGAGGAAGATGAAGTGAAACTCGGGTCTGCTTCTCCCAGGAGAACTGCCCGAAACGGGATCCTCCTCTTCCACGAACCCAAGGAAGGGGGCACGGAAGGCCAGAAGCAGGAAGGTGGCTGTCAGAGGCCTCTAGACCTCCTAGAGCTGGAGGAGCCCTTGGACACATACCAGAGGCTGGGTTCCAAAGTCTCTAGAAGGAGCTGGGGGAGGGGAGGCACAGGGGAAATAAAACCACTAAAACACGCGCAGGAGTCACTGTTTAATCTCTCTAGCTCCATACTCAGGCTGGACAGAGGCGAGGACTAGAAACGCCACTCATCTCGCCGGTTCCCACTTGCGAACAGAAGCCAGGCAGGTACTACTGAGCTGCCATGCCTATTCTTCAGCTTAAGGGACAAAAGACACACTGTACTGCAGATCGGGGCTACCGATTACAAATAGATACGAAGTGAGGAACACAGGCAGGTTGGGGTGCGCTCTGCAACTGCCTCCTGAACCCCAAGGCCTCCTCTTCCACCCCTTAGCCAAGCAGAAGAGGGGAGAAGGTGAAGGGGCAGACTGGGAGGCTGTCAGTACCCCACTCCACTGCTTCCTCTCAGAGCCAAGAACTGTCAGGAGTTAGAGGGAACTGCTCACTTAGGACTCAGCCCAGCCAGTCCACCAGTCTCTGTGGTGAGTGTCACTGACTCTCCTCAGTAGCATGCTCGCTAGGAAGGCAGGAGGCTGGAGGCCGGAGGCCGAAGGCGGGAAAGGTAAGCAGCCAACTGCCCCCTCCCACTCTGGCTTTCCCTCTCTTCAGTGATACAGAAATCACATTATTTCAGTTAAGAGGAGGAAGGAGTTAGATATAGCAAATAAATATTACTTCAATGTAGCACCAAATAAATTAGGTAACATCATTAAAGATGGGGGTGGGGATCCTCTGCTTCCCTGCTCTAATCCGGGAAACGGTGGAAGGGACTGTAAGGCTGTAAAGGAGCCTTTGAATCTAAAGCACAACGATAGATTCAGCCCAAGAACTGGGAAGAGTTCAGTTTCCATTCCCAACTCTTGGCAAAAAGTGTCCCCAGCTGAGGAAATCTTGACAAACAGCTGGGCAAGATGGCCGGAGAGGAATGAGGCAGGCTGGGAAGCTGGGCTTTTGAGCCTCACCTCAGACTCCTGCCCCTCAGCTTCTCGCAGCAGTCCGGGGACATCAGAGTTTGAAGATCTCATCTTCCCGATTCCGCAGTGTTTGGGTCCGGGAGGTCCGGGTCAGCGGTACCGTCAGAGTTTGAAGATCTCATCCTCCTGATCCCGCAGTGTTTGGGTCCGAGAGGTCCGGGTCAGCGGTACCGGACCGAGCACTGCTCGCTGCTGCGTCCTAGGGGAGCGGAGGTGGAGCCCTGCGCCCTCCTCGGGGACCCTGCAAGTGAGGAAAGAGCAACAGAGTGAGGGAGAACCTGAGAATGGAGCCAGTGCAAGGTGTGTTGGGGGGGGCTGCCTTCCTTTGCTTCATGAGGTGGACGGAGTCTCAATGTCACCTGGAAAACCGCTTGTCCTCACACTGCTGCACAGTTCTTACCTTAGGGAGAACTGTGAGAACACAGACGCCACAGAACCTATTTCCCACTGCCTCATCCCCTTCCAGTTGCCACCAGCTTTGTTCACGGCCTTGGAACCATATGGGGAAAGGATATCCTGATCCAGGCCATTCTGTTACTAGTTTGTGGTTCGCTAAAAGAGAGGGGTTTGTGCAGGGTCTTCGAGGGGCCAGCTGGAGACTCACCCACTTTCCCCTTTCCTCAGCTTCTGGGCAGCAGCCTTCTTTGATAGACTGATCTGTGAATCGAGCTTCTTAAGGAAATCAGAGGCAGAAAGGTCATGGATGGGTGTGGAGGCTTCCTGGTGCTGTGGGAGGGCTTCGCCATTGGCCGGGCCTGAACCTGACTCTTGATTCTTCCTCTTCCCTGAATGTGAACCAGCGCCATCCTTCCTGGGTCGTACCTCCTCCTCTCCATCATTTTCCTCCTCAGAATCTAAACCATTAAATAGGTCTCTGGGCTCTGTCAGGATGGGGATGTAGAGAGTTTTCTTCAGGAAGATGGAGTCATTAGTATAAAGGCGGTTTGTACGCTTAATCTGTTCCATCTTAAAAAAAAAAAAAAAACAAACACCCAAAATGAATGACTGACAGTAAAATCTACCAATCTTATATAGCATCTCAAACTTTTTGTCTTCTTTGTTACTATGTAGGCCAAGCTAATCTCAAAACAAGCCTGGCTCAGGATCTCAGACTTTTATCCTTGGTACGTGTAGTGGGAAGGCTGCTGCACTGTTTCATGACTGTTCACCAACTGGGCCATCTTCCCAAGCCACCAACGCAAACATTTTAAGTCATTGTACAAGTCTTTGACTCCGTAACACACCAGTTCAAAGCCTGCGATCCCAGCTCTCTAGAGGCAGCCAAGAAGACCTTGACATTTCGGTTATGGGAGTCTGAAGCTAGCTTGAGTTCCCAGGAACTTTGTCTCAAAAGAAACAGAACAAGTTACTAGTATTTAAAGCTAACAATTAAATAATTAATAACAATAAATTAATTATTAATAATTAAAGCTGAGGGGTTGGAGAGATGGTTTTAATAGTTAAAAGCACTGGCTGCTCTTGCAGAAGGGGATCAATTCCCAGCACTCACATAGTGGTTCACAACCATTCGTAACTCTAGTTCTTGGTGATCCAATACCCTTTTCTGACTTTGGTGGGCACCAGGCACCCCCATGGCACACAGATACACATGCGAGCAAAACACTAAAAATAAACTTAAAATAAAATAATAAAGCTGAGCTAGGTATGGTAGCGTACCTTTCTTTTTCCTGGTTTTTTTAAGACAGGGTTTCTCTGTGTAGCCCTGGCTGTTCTAGAACTTGCTATATAGACCAGACTGGCCTCAAACTCAGAGATCCCCCTGCCTCTGCCTTCTGAATGCTGGGCTCAAAGGTGTGTGCCATCACCGCTTGGTGACAGTACACATCTTTAATCTCAATACTAGGAAAGCAGAGGCAGGGGGATTTCTGAGTGTGAAGCCAATCAAGCTACATAATGAAACCTGGTTAGCAATAAAATAAATAAATCTGGACGGGGCTATGTGGCTCCATGGTACAGTGTTGCCTAGCATGTGCAGAGCCCTAGGCTGGACCCCTAGCAGACCTCCAACAATTAATAAATAAACAAAACTCTCACACACGTTCTCATAGTCCGGCCCACCAGCACCACACTTACTATCTCTCATCTGGGCTAACTGTTCAGTTTAATTGCTCTTCCGCTTTCCTGTTCACATATTTTTTCCTTGCCATCTAGAAAAATGATCTGATTAACCCTCTAGCTGGCTCAGCAACTTCTATGGCTCCTCATGGGCTAAACAACAAAATCCTAGAGGGGATGCAAGGCCTTTCTCTAGCTAGCCCCACAGGACGTGTCTAGCTTTGGCTCTCATCTGCATCCTACCACTCAGCTACACCTTCAAATCACCAGTTCCCTTGGTCTTGTTATATGTGGACCTGGCCTGGAACTCTGAGTCCGTCTACCTAGGCATCCTGACGGCTGTCAGGCTGTGTCACCAAGCCTGGCTTTCAGGCAGCTTTTCTTTTTCCTTCCAGACAGGGTTTCTCAGTGTAGTCTTGGCTGTTCCAAAACTCACTCTGTAGACCAGGCTGGCCTCAAACCCACAGAGATCCGCCTGCCTCTGCCTCCTGAGTGCTGGGACTGAAGGCGTGCGCCACCATGTGAGGCAGCTTCCAGACAGCTGTTAAACTTCCATGTAATTGAGACTAGGCCAGAATTTAGAGACGCAAGGTTGAAAGGAAACTATTTCTGCTCTTAAAGAGCTTGTGGAAGACAAAGACATAAATATCTGGGTTAAACAGACCTGTAGAAGGGAACACAGAGGGCAAGGTTTCTAAGTCTTCAAGGCCCATAGTGAGGGTACTCGGAAAACCTACGCCACAGTGTTTATCGCTCACACCCACCTCAGTCCTCACGACACAGGAACACTGTGAGTTCCAGGCCAGCTTAGGCTACACAGTGACATAATGACTAGAAAATCCACCCTCCCCGCCAAACCTAATTCCACGTCAACTGATATCCACTCCTACTTCCACACAAAAACGAATAGTTCCTGGTTTCCCACTCCTCGTGACTATTCCTTACATAACCATTGCTTCGTCTCCGTTTCTCACAGAATTTACACACGAACGCATCAGTACACATTTATGTTTTATCTCCAGGAAGGGTTACTATAATGCTTTAAGTACAGCAGGCATGGGAATTTGTCTAAATTCAACATTTGTTTGTATGTGGTAAAACAGGATACAGAGGGGAAGGCTACAACTTTAACGTTTATGCCTATCAAACTCCTCCTAGGTGTGACCAGAAATACTCGATGAATGTAGCGGGTACTTGTTTTGTGCCTCATTGGAAAGAAAGCACAGCCTGGCGCGGAAAGAACTAGAACAGGCACTTCGGGAATTCTAACTCTTCCTGACTTGCTGTAAAGGTCTAGCCACCCCCAGTGTTTCTGCGTGACTAATGGTAAGGGCCTTAAGTCAGACAGACAGACCTATCTCAAACCTTCCTCTGACACTCAAGTTATTTGACCTTCATCAAACTGGTTACCAGGGCTGCAGAGATGGCTCAGAGGTTGAGAGCATTGGCTGCTCTTCCATAGGACTTGGCTTCAATTCCCAGCACCCACATGGCAGCTCACAGCTGTCTAACACCGGTTCCAGGGGACCTGAAACCCTCATACAACAGACATACTTGCAGGCTAACTGGTTATCAGTCTTAAGTCTCAAGTTGACAGGTCCACCCCCAACTTCACCCCCAACTTCACCCCCGCGGCCAACCCAATCCACAGGAGCCGCTCCTCCCACTGGGAGAGTAGGGCGGATGTGATGTGTCCCAACTAGACAGTACTACACTGAGATGTGAAAACAAGTAACAAAGGCAAAGCAGACCACAATATAATTAATATAACGTCAGGGCAGACTGCTTAGCGGGCCACAACTCTTTCCTAAATGCTCATCACACCCCCAATCATTGGAAGACTCACCGTCACCCCATATTTGAGAGCTAGTCCAGCCAGGGTGTCTCCAGGCTCCAACTGATGCTCCAGACGTCTTTCCCTCACTGGGGAGCAGGACGATTGTACCAGGCTTCCATAAGAACGAGTACGGCTCCCTTGCAGCAGCCCTGATCCCCCGAGTGGGGGCTGTCTAGAGGGAGAAGCCATCTCCTCAGGATGCCAAGACCTACGGTCACAACTGAGGAAAGCCTGGCTGAGTGGCCAACAGTGAGAGTCGAACCCAAGGAATAGATATTCAGGGAATTCCTTTTCCGTTCTCTCGTCTCTCTTCAGTCTCCTCGCTCTCGAGAGACTACATCGGTCCTCCTCCTCGTTCTGCTGCTTACCGAGCGAGCTTGGGGTCACAGCCCGTATCCGAAGAAGGCTGCCAGACCGGTTACATCTCTCCTTCCTCAAGCCCCCTTACTCATAAACATCTTCCCTGAGTTGTCAGCCGCTGGCCCCCTCGACTTTCGACGCCCCCCTCTAACTCCTCGCAAGCCTGATCTCTGACCTCTGAACCCTAGACTCCCTCATCAACACTCTTCCCTCAGTGTGTCCCCACCTCCTGCAGCCAGGCCGCAGAGAGCGCCTCCATCCTCACGGCTCCAAATCAGGCCCACCCCAGGTGGGTTGTGGCTGCGGGCGACGAGCCTGAGGGCTGCGAGAGTGCGCCGTGCACAGTCCACTGAGACTGCCGAAGCCTCACTCCACATCGGGGTGTCCCACCCCGAAACACCGGCTCCGCATTCAGGCTCCTGGTCTCCAAACACCTGGATCCTTAGAGATGTGCGGGCCTGTATTCAGGTGAACGGTAAGCTCTTCGAAAAATAGAAAAAAATAATAACTAAAAGACTTCATTTCCCAAGAGGCAAAGCGTCCTCAGGGCGTCAGAGGAAATGCAGGCCCCCTCAGGGCGCTGGAGGCGGGTCTTCCGGCTCGCGCGGTGCATGCGTGGAAATGCATCCTCGGAAGTACAGGCTCAACCTGAAAAAGACAGGAAGCAGAGAAAGCGATAACCTACTCTTCCTACGGTGGCCTGAAGGAGAAGCGAAGTCGGCGTAGAAGAATTTGTTATTTCTGGGACTCACAGTTGCGATGTCTTTCAAGAGAGAAGGGGACGACTGGAGTCAGCTCAATGTGCTAAAAGTAAGAAGCCCTAGTGTGAGTCAGACCACGGTCAATGGTGGCGCACGCCTTTAATCCCAGCATTTGGGAAGCAAAAGCAGAGTTTGAGGTTCGAGGCAAGCCTATTCTACACAACTAGTTCTACGACAGCCAAGGCCCTATTCCACACAACTAGTTCTACGACAGCCAAGGCTACCCAAAGAAATCCTGTCGCGAAAAACCAAAAAGAGAGGGAGGGAGAAAGAAAGAGAGACTGAAAGACTGCTCAGTTTAAGCTGCATTGTTAGGGGACCAGAACTGAGTGATGCCTTCTTCTTACCCTATGGTCTGCATGGCCCCGTTCCATTTGACTCTTTATCCATTTTCTTTCCCTTTCACCCGTCCCACTTCCTCATTTCTCCTGTCCTGCTCTCTGCAGAAACGACGAGTTGGAGACTTATTGGCCAGTTACATCCCAGAGGATGAGGCGCTGATGCTGCGGGATGGACGGTGAGCGTGAAGAGTGGATCAAGCCTGGGGTTTTGCGATCAGAGGCTCAACAAACTTTTGTTACTGAGTAGTTCAGGAGTATGGTAGGATTCTTTGGTGGGAAGTGACGATTGGAAGAGGTGGCGAGCAGGAGACCTGGGTGTTGGTGGAGTGCTTTGACAGGCGTAGCCTCTGCCCCAGCAGGAACAGCCCCACCACCTGCTCTGGAACTCACACGGGTTTATCATTCACTTCGCTTCTCCTTTCTGTAGCTTTGCGTGTGCCATCTGCCCCCATCGCCCAGTACTGGACACCCTGGCCATGCTGACTGCCCACCGTGCAGGCAAGAAGCATCTGTCCAGTAAGTATAGGGGAAGGAGGGGAGGGAAGACTGGTGGAGAATAAACTCTTGATGTTTAGCAAACCCCCTGCTGTTGTGCTTTGCATCCCCTTTGCTTTTCAGGTCTGAAACTCTTCTATGGCAAAAAGCAGGCAGGCAAGGAAACAGGGCAAAATCCAAGACAGCAGAATGACCTGAAGACAGAAAACAAAGCTGAGGTATGAGAGCGGGTCAGGTCAGGTGTTCAGGCAGGACTACTGCATGCAGCAGGTCTGAAGGGACCTTTGCTCTCGCAGTTCTGATCTGTCCCTTTCCTCCATAAACAGGCGCCTTTGCTAACCCAGACTCGACTGATCACGCAGAGTGCTCTGCACAGAGCTCCCCACTATAACAGCTGCTGCCGGAGGAAACACAGGTCTGGACTTGGAAACCCGAGTGGGAAAAGGTAGAAGGAAGTAGATGGCTCTAAAGTTATTGCTCTCCAAAGTGTATTCTGAGCAATGCTAATATTGTATTGTGGAGCTGTTTAAAGAAAAATGATAGTTTATGACTTTTAAGATAAATTTTAGAAAGTGGAGACTATTAACATTGAGCTGGGCAGTGGTGGCACACACCTTTAATCCCAGCACTCGGGAGGCAGAGGCAAGTGGATCTCTGTGAGTTCAAGGCCAGCCTGGTCTACAGAGTGAATTCCATGTCAGCCCTGGGTGCATAGTGAGACCCTGTCCCGTCTCAGTCCAGGAGCTCAGCTCAGGAAGCACTGCTGAGGGCTTGGGAGGCATGGCGAGCTGCTGCTTTCCTTCAGTGCTTTGCAAGGCTTGGGTTCTTCTCTACACAGACCGGAAGCCCCTGCTCCCTCTGTCTCCAGTTCTCCTTTGCCAGCCCCAGAGGTTGGACTCCAGAGTGCAAAGATCAGTAGGGAACCCGAGCCTAAGGCAGGATCACATGCCAAAGAGTCATCTGCTCCCATGAGCCCCACAAAACGACGAATCCTGAACCATTACCTTACCCTCCGAAGGTTAGTCTACCAATCACGATCTTCGGGTTTCCTTCATTTTTCCCTGACACGCCCTTTTCAAACCAATCCAGCTGCTTTTTTTTTTAATCACCAGTAACTTTTTATTTAAATTACATTTATTTATTTATGTTGGGGTACACTTGTGTAAGTCAGAGGGCAACTTATAGGGGTTGGTCCTTTCATTCTACCCTGTGGGTCCTGGGGTTAGAAATCAGCACCATGAACCTTATTCATAAAACTCTTCCCTGCTGGGCAGTGGTGACACACACCTTTAATCCCAGCACTTGGGAGGCAGAATGATGTAGGATTCTCCTCTGTATGCTGTGAATATGTTTGATTACCATTGGTTAATGAATAAAGCTGTTTCGGTCAGTGGCTTAGCAGAGCAAAGCCAGGTGCGAAATCTGAACAGAGAGAGTGAGAGAGAGAGTATGCAGAGTCAGGAAGACACCATGTAACTGCTGAAGGAGAAAGATGCCTACCGCCTACCAGTAGTCCACAGCCTTGTGATATATAGATTGATAGAAATGGGTCAATTTAAGATGTAAGAGCTAGCTAGAAATACACCTGAGACATTGGCTACACAGTGCTGTAATTAATATAGTTTCTTTGTGATTATTCGGGTCTGGGTGGCCAAGAAACGAATGAGCAGTCTCTGCCTACAGAGGCAGGTGAATCTCTGAGTTCGAGGCCAGCCTGGCCTACAGAAGCGAGTGAGTGCCAGGACAGACTCCAAAGCTACACTGAGAAACCCTGTCTTGAAAAACAAACAAACAAAAAGACCTCTTTTTTGACCCATTGTCTTTTCTCTGATGTTTCCAGCTCGGGATGGGTCCCAGATGGACAAGGCCGATGGATAAAAGATGAGAATGTTGAATTTGACTCGGATGAGGAAGAGCCCCCTGATCTCCCTGTGGACTAACAACCCCGCTCCCCATTTGTTCCACGATAAACTGTAGTGGGTCCTGGGAGCCCAATGGTCCTCGAGTCGGGTTCCTTGTTCGACCTTAGGATTTCAGATCTCCTGCAGTGTCCATGGCTCGCCACACTCTGACCCCTCCCCCACTCTCTACCAAAGCCTTGCCAAGCGTCAGCTGCATTCAGCCCGGTGCCCTATTAATAAGTCTGTCAGGAGGAGGTCCCTGCCCTTCGTGTAGTCTGACTCCCTCCCCACCTCCACCCTCAGTCCCTTTCCTTCAGCTCACATGTGGACGGCCAATGGGCACAGGGGCTCTGGCCACCTCTGTCTGCAGAGAGCACTGTGGCCAAGTGCCCTGTGAAGAGACTGAAGCCTTTGGCAGATTTATGGGGAACACAAGGGACAGAGCTCCCCCTCTTCCTAGTAACCTGAACCTCCCTGCCTGCTGATCCCCAGAGTATAAATAATCCCTTGATGAACTGGCAGTAACCCTTGAGGGGTAGCGCCAAGATTCCCACCCCAACCCAAGGAAGAAGACAGGCGGCGTGAACAAAAGGGATTTTATTTACAGGAAAGGGAAGAGAGATGAGGATTTATGTGTCCAGGGCTCTCATCTCTTGTTAGCAAAAGGAAGGGTGACGCTATCTCTTCTTTTGCTGGCGACCTGTAAAGGGAGAATGGTGAGCACAGCTTCATCTCTTGTTTTGGCAAGGGCGTGTTTCTCTTTCCCTTTCCTTAGACTTATAAACTGCTGCCCCAGGCCACCTGAGGGGCCTGTCCCATGTTAACAGCAAATCAAGAACACACACTGAGAAATAAAAGGACGTGTTTCTGGGCGGTACTGTCATGCCGAGCTCCCACCCACTTCTCTCCAGATGTGTGCTGGGGGAAGACGGACTTTGTATCTGTTTCCCGCTCATTCCTCTCCGCGTGTGTGCCAGCTACCCAAGCCTTCGTCACTAAGTCTGTTTTCGGGACCGCCCATCTCGGCACTTGCCCTCGTCTCTACACGGGGGCTCCACAGCTACTCACGCAGCTCATTGTTCCGGGTCATGGCCTGGGCCGCCCGAGCTCGTGGTCCTTGTTGTGTAAAGTGGTACCCGAAGCGCACAATAGAGGGACACTGCTCTAACACAGTGGCCATTTCCATCTCCACGGCATCACCAGGCCATTGGCGCTGAGGAGAGAGAGGCAAAAGCTATCAGATACCTATGGTTGTTCATCCCAGCCCACGGGCCTCCAGGAAGTTAAGAGTCTTGTTTCTCTGGAGGAGGTGAAGGGAGTGCTGGCCCCCTTGCTACCCAATAAGCTGCCCAGGGAGGAACTCAATGAATGACCCTGGGGAAAGGAATGCCGACCTGGTTATCTACACGGAGCTCGGTAAGAGTGGCATTCTCCCGAACAGCCTTCAGCACAGCCATGAGCCCTGTGCTGCTGATGAAGTTGGATTCAATGTTCAGGCTCTGGAGACTACGGTTCTCACGCAACATGTCAGCTACCGCCTAGGTGGTAGGGGCTTGTGTTAGGGTTGGGGACAGTTTCATAGGTGACTGAGGAGAGGCAGAAGGGGAGCAGGAGGGACACAGCCCTGAGGAGCCTGGGTTGGGAAGTTGGTGAAAGCATGAAGATTAAGATCACTGGCGGGATCGAGGCTACTAGAGGAGGTTGGAACTTCAGAGTTGTGAGCCAGAGAGGTAAGGGTACAGGATCTCTGAGGGCTGCCCTATAACTCATGATGGGAACAGCACCCCCTAGTGTGACCCAGAAAGACAGCCCTTGCCAGGAGTGCATGACAGGGTATGGGAAGAGGACCGGGGACAGCAGCCAGCCTTACATTGGCGATGGGGTCACCACTCTTTGTGGCCACCAGACTGAAGCTCCGGACATAGGTGTTCGTCTTCATTGCTTCGCATAACTCACTGAGCACGGGTATCGGGATGTCCTAAGGGACACAGGATGGGGACTAAAGATCCTCACGCCTCAACAGTATTCCTGCTACGATTTGGGGATGGGAGTCAAATACCTGTATGTTATTAAGGTTCACTTCCTCCAGCTCTTTGTCATTACTTCGTACTCTCTTTAGCATTTCCTCAATGTTTGTGGGATTTGGCGGTTCATCTGGTACTGGCTTATACTTGTCAGGCTGTACCACACCTGGTGGGGATAAGAGCAGAAAGGGAACCCCAACATATCCCTCACCACATCTCCCCATTGGCCCTCTAAACCTTCGTGCACCATGTCTCACACTGGAGCCTCCTCAGCCCCCGGAGCTCAAGGGGTCGGGATGGCATGCTCCCCCAGCACACTCACTGCTAATGCCTTCGGTGTTACAGATCTCCCCACTGCAGATGGCATCGTAGTATTGCTTGTTGCTCATCAGTGTGTACATGCCCAGGATGGCTGGTGAAGGTAAGCAGAGAGACATGGCAGTTAAGGTACCTGCCACAGGCCTGCCTCCTGCCTCTCTCCTAAAGCAGTTCTACAGCCTGACCGTCCACTCTTGGCGGAGTTTCTCACCCTCCCTCAGCTCCAGGAGTCTCTTCCATGCACCTGCCTTGGAGTGATTTCTAGAACCTGAGAGGGCCCAGGGAGTCCCTTGAGGAGCTGCTAGAGGGTGAGACCCATCTGCAGAGAAGATCCTCTGCTGCTTTCAGCCAGAAGAGTTCCACCCTCATCTGCCTTCACAACCTCTGGAAGGTTGCTCTTGGGATGTTAACTTATTAAATTAAAAAAAAAAAGAATGAACCAGTGTACAAGCAAACAAATAAAAGCTAAAAACCATTGCCTTAGGCTTTCTCGGATGTCCATGTTCTGGCTTGGGCCTTTCCCTCTAGTTCTATATCAAGATAAAGATGCCACAAGCCCTATCCTCCACCTTCCTCAACTTCCCAGCTGCCCACCTGCAATGTCACACATTTCAGCATCTGTAGCATGGGACAGTGCCTCCTCCAGCTCGGGCTCCAGCGTAATCTGTTCCTCTGCTGGGATTTCTCTCTTGGGCTGAATATAGGGTTTCCCTGATAGAAGGATGAAGGACAGTTCAGAAAGAGGTAATTTCTTCCAAGATGACAGCATCCACCTTCCTTTCCTTCTCCAGGTAGGGTCAGACTGAAGCCTGAATTCTCTACAAGCACAGGACCCTTGAGTCCTGTCCTCTCCACTCTCAGAAAAACTGAAGAGTATGTGCCAGTGAGGCAGTGTGTGTCCATAATCCCAGCATTTGGTAAGCTGGCTAGCAGGACTGGTAGCTTAGGGCCAACCTGTGCTACACAGTGAGATCCTACCTCAAAAAAAATATTGAAAATAATAACAAAAATAGAAGAGAACAAACTAACATGCAGGTGTCCAGCACCGGAGTCCCTGACAGATGGCTGCCAGAAGGGGGAGGGGAGCGAACGGAAAGGTGCGAGGGACAACCGTTTGCTTTCTGTAGGGCATAGATGTTAGGGTGCCCATACCCTTCTTCTCGCCAGTGAAGGGCACCAAGTCATCACGCTCCTTGACTTCTAGTGCCTGTTGCTCCAGGTACTGCAATAGGGCATCTCGGTCTAGTGGCCCTGTTGGACTCTTCTTTGTCTGGTCACGTTGTCTCAGTCCAGCTGGCAGGAGCATATTCTTAGGGATGAGTTTTGGGGAACAAATCAGGAGCTCTCCAGACATCTTTTCCCTGGCCCTTCTAGGATTCCAGGTCCTATTGGTAGCCCTGGTCTCAGCCACCACCCAGCATCCACTATCCTTCCCGCATGTGCGGGTGTCCTGACCCCTGTGCTGGTTCCCTGGTCTCACCCACCCAGCACCCACTATCCTTCTGCATGTGCGGGTGCCCTGACCCCTGTGCTGGTGCCCTTACCTCGGGGTCCATTTCTTGTAGCTCACAGTCCAGCTGTTCCAGCTCCTCGGGGCTCAGGGTCCTTAGGATCTCATCTTCATCTATGTCTCTGTATTTCTCCAACTCCTTCTGATATGATGACATGGTGGCCCCTACCCCCTCCCCACCGTGTGACACTCACAGCCTGGAGGGATATGGGAAAAGGTGTTGAACATGGACACTGAGGACACAGAAGTCCAGCCATGGTTAGAACACTGAACTAGACACCTTGGAGAGCAGGGTCTACTGGGGATGGAAAGATTAGACCGTCATTGTTACCGTTTCCTTCTGCACTTTGCAGCCATTCTGTCTGGGGAGTCTAAGTTCCAGGCCGGGTCTGTGCACCCACTGTGTGATGGGGAAATACTGGCAGCACCTTCCCCTACTTTACCCGACAGTGTCTCCTGCCCTGACACAGCTGCTGGAGGCCCTGCCAGCACAGCTGGCTGCATGCCCAGTTCCTACTGAAAGGTGGGAGGGGGTGACTGAGCTCCAGGGAAATTCCTCCTCTCTTCCCCAATACCCAGGCCTTTTTCAAGACTGGGTGAGTGAGGAAGAATGGCTGGGTTGGACTGGCGGCCTCGTATGCCATCCTCATTTCCTCCTTTATTGTAAAGGACCAAGATCTTACTTTTTATATTTGCTAAAATTCTAAATCGTGAGGGAAAGTAAGGCTTAGAAGCTGGGGCACTTCCAGATTGGGAGAAGGGCAAAATGGCCTCAGAAGGCATTCGGTTCCCATAATCTGTCACCAGAAAGGTGACACCAGAACTCTGGACAAAAAAAAAAAAAAAAAAAAAAAAAAAAAAAAAAAAAAAGCCTTCTAAATGGGGTGGTGGGATGAGGAAGCTTGCACAGTCTTTTACAGTGTGAAAAACGCTCCCGAGCTCTACATACACATCATGCTTAACATGGAAGATGATCCTGAAAGGGAGACATTAACAACATAAGCCGTACAGAGTCAAGACAGGGAAGTGGCAGAAACACAGAGTGACAGAGGCAAGGACACACAGCTCACTTCTCCTAGGCACTCCTCCTATCACCCACCAGGCCCTCACCCACAAGACCCCTCTTTCCCACCCACCAGTTCTAATTGCCACCTCTCACCTCCCCTTGTCAGTTGGTCCGTCTGTTCTACTATGGCACCGTCCCGGTCAGCAGGAGGAGCCTGGTGCCGGGGGAGAGAGTGGGGGAACAGTGAGCTCAGCATTTTATTATTTTAGCTCTGGCCAGGTGGGGAGTGGTGGGAGATCACATATACACAGACCCCATACCTTGCCCAGCCCTGAGAGCCTCTAGTGGCCAGTACCAGCCATGACACCTTTCCCTACAAGCAGAGTCCTCCAGGGGAGAACCAGATGACTCCCACTGCGCTGAGCCTGCTCCGTTCAAAGCACTGAACATGAGGTGGTATGTCAGTGAAGCCAGACAGGGCCTCACACCCATATTCCCGCCACAGGGGAGGCCGAGGCAGGGCTGCTACAAGATGGAGAACAGCATGAACTATAGCAAAACTTTTTGTTTTGTTTTTTATTTTTTGAGACAGGGTTTCTCTGTGTTGCCCTGGCTGTCCTGGAACTTGTTCTGTAGACTAGGCTGGCCTCGAACTCACAGAGAGCCACTTGCCACTGCCTTCCAAATGCTGGAATTAAAGGCATTCGCTACTACTGCCTGACTAAAAAACATTTTTTTAAAGGGGTGTGGGAGCTAGAGATGGCCCAAGTGGTTATTTGCTGTGCAATTGTGAGGACTGGAGTTGACATTCCTGCACCCACGTAACAAGCTGGTCATTTCACACATGCTTGTAACCCACGTCCCTCTGTGGACGGCAGAGACAGAGGATCACTGGAGGCTGCTGGCTTCTGATAGCCTAGAAAGCATGACCCCAGGCTCAGGAGACCCTGCTCAAAGGAATAGAAAGAATTACAGAAGACACTGGTGGCCTCTGCAAGTGCACATGCACCCACAAACATACACACTCTCAACATAAGGATTTTGATTTGGTATCTAACTTTAATTGAAAGAACAAATACTTTAGAATTAATTATGGACAACCCATGTAATGATATGTAGTGTGAGATGGGATCGTGGATCACATGGCAGGGGACAAACATGCCATCAAACAGAGCTTAAATGGGAAGGAAGTTTACTGGGAAAGGGGAGAGAGAGAAAGAGAGAGGAAGAGAAAGAAAGGGACAGAGACCTGCCTTCTCAGAGACACAGCAGAAAGAGAGCGGGAGTGGGTGGAGCCTGTCTCTTAAAGGAACCTTTACATCTAAGTAGAGTTGGTACTGCGCGCCTCTGTCAGGTCCCCAAGGGACGGGATCAAGTTTACATTTGCCTGGATAACAACCCAGGTAAGTATAATAAAAATATGTGAGAGGATCGAACAAAAGTATCTTTATGAAGCCAATTACTTTGTATAATAAATATGTACTAATAAAGGACAAAGCAGGGACCGCGATTTTGCCTCTAGGCCTAGCACTTGGAAGGCTGAGGCTGAAGGACTGCTTGAGCCCAGGAGTCTGAAACTAACCAGGACAATTTAGTAAGAACTTCTGTTTTAAAAATAAGAAAACAAGGCCGGGTGGTGGTGGCACAGGTCTTTAATCCCAATACGCAGGAGGCAGAGGCAGGTGGATCTCTATGAGTTCGAGACCAGCCTGGTCTACAGAGCAAGTTCCAGGACAGCCAGGGCTACACAGAGAAACCCTGTGTGGAGGTTTGAAAAAAAAGATGATTTGAAAGTTCATAACAAGTGCTATAAAACAATAAAAAAGATATAGGGACGTGTGTGACAGCCAAGACAATTCTAGCACTTGGAGATCTTACCTGAGGCCAGCTTAGACTAGGTAGAGACCCCTGTCTTAAAAAAGAGAGAAAAAGAAGAGGAAAGGAAAGAAGGAGAAAACATACAAGGCTGAGGGGGTATCTCAGTGGCAAACCATTTGTCCAGCATGAACAAGGCTGTTCAATGCTAGCACAAACAAAACTAAACAACCCAAATATACCAATACACTAACACATTCATATCTTGCCTCCAACCCTACACACCACACAAAAGGGATTTCACCATTTTATTAGAATTAAAAAAACAACAAAACAAAACCAGAATGAACTAGGGAAGGAAATGATTTAAAACAAAACAAAACCCAGAGCAAAGGTGCCCGAGGACAAAGGGAACGACGGACCTGTGAGCCCAGGTCAGCAGAAGAAAGACGTTTCTAAGGAGCAAGCGTCTATTTGATGACAATTTTCTGCCGCAAGGCCCGGGGCCCAGAGCCAGGAAGTGGCTCAGGGGGCGGGGGACCGGGGCCAAGGGCCGAGGCAGTGGGTGGCAGTCCGTGGGCAGTGATGTACTTCTTGTAGGCCTCCCGAATGATCTTGAAGGCTCGAGCAGTGGCATAGGGTATGTCTGTTACAGGGTCGCGGTACAAAGCCGGACGGTGGGTTACTGGGCAGACCTCCCGCACAGGGACCTTCGGGGGTCGCCCTTGGGGGAACCACTCTTCAAATGTTGCATCATCACTAAATGTGATGAAGGTGCGTGAGCAGTGAGCAGGAGTGCCAGCAGCTCCAGTCCCAGTGTGCGGGGTCAATGCAGAAGCTGCAGGAGCAGGATCAAGTCTGAGGGCAAAAGACAGAAAATACAAAATGCTGAGAAGACAAGAGGCAGAGAGAGGAAGAAGTCAGGCTGGGTGTGGTGGTTCATGCCTGTAACATCAGTATTCAAGAGACAGAGGGAAGATGATTCCCTGAGTTTCAAGTCACTGCAGAGACAACAAACAAAAACAACAAAAAAACTGGGCACGGGGCTGGAAAGATGATTCAGTATTTAAGAGCACTGGCTACTGGGCTAGAGAGATGGCTCAGAGGTTAAGAGCACTAACTGCTCTTCCAGAGGTCCTGAGTTCAATTCCCAGCAACTACATCTGATGCCCTCTTCTGGCGTGCAGGCAGGACACTGTATACATAATAAATAAATTAAAAAAAAAAAGAGCATTGGCTACTCTCCCGAGGACATGGGAGCCCAAAGAGTGGCTCACACAATTTTCCACTCCAGCTACAAGGTTATCTGTCCCCTTCTTCTGGCCTCAGTGGGCACATACTTGCAAGCAAAACACTGACACACATTTAACATGAAATAAGTAAAATAAAAATGCTGGGTGGGGAGCACACCTCTAACCCCACAGGCGGATCTCTGTGAGTTTGAGGCCAGCTCTGGTCTACAGAGCAAGTTCAAGGACAGCCAGGGCTGCAGACAGAAACCTTGTTTCAGGAAACAAACAAACAAATAAAAACTGGGCATGGGATTCACATTTGTGATCCCAGTACTAAGTACTAAGGTAGATCATGAGTTTGGGACTAGCCTGGGCTACATAGTGAGTTCAGGCCAGCCAGAGCTACAGGCAAGGGATGAGCAGCGTGAAAGATGAGATCCGAGATGTGCGGTGAGGAGTGTGATGGGGGAGAAGCCAGGGACACGGGAGCCACTCACCCTTCCACGTCCACATTCTCCTCCTTGGGACCGGGCTCCCCAACAAGCGGCACTGTCATTGAATGGTAGGTGATGATTGGCCCAGGGCACTTCCGCTTCTTGTGAACCTGCTTCTTTTTGTCAGCCTCAAGCCTTTCATAGGTCTCTTCCGGAGCAAAGGAGAAATGAGGAAATGATCAGTTTTCCTTTTCCCCACATTCTTGCTCTGGCCCATGGTCTATTTAAATTACATTTATGTATTTATGAATGTTTGTGTATGTGTGTACACACACATACAGAGGTCAGAGGGAACTTTATGGAGTCAGTTCCCTGCGTATATCACGCGGATTCCAAGGATCAAACGCAGGTCAATGGGGCTGCTGGCAAGTGCCTTTACTGGCTGAGCCATCATAGATCTCATGGGCCCTGTCCTACGATCTGAATTATCAATCTAACCACTGCCACTCTGGCAGAAGTCCTTCCTTTCTCGAACACACAGGGTCCTTACTCACTCACTATGGGAAGAATCTCAGGTAGGCAGAGGCCTTGTGATAGGAACCCCTTCATTTCTCATATTCCTTCCAACCCCACAGCCCGGCAACCTGCTCCTCACCCTGACATCACGACCAGACAGAGTTTGTCCAGTTCCCAGCTAAGATACAATTCCTGAGGACAGTTCCCCTTGTTTGTCTGTGAGGGAGGCATGCTCTCATTAAGTGGCTCTTGCTGGCCTTGAATTCACAGAGATGACTGTCTTCGCCTCCCAAGTGCTGGATTAAAGGCGTGCACCGCCACCACCCGGCAAGCTGGGACTATTAAATGTGAACTTTCTAATTATTGTGCCTCAAATCTCCATTCCTCTGGTCCTGCAGGTGTCAGCTTTTCTCCTGTGGCCTCAGTGTCTCCACCTCCTCTCCTAAAACCACAACTGACCTAGTGATCGTAAGTTCAGCTCCTCTGTGATCTTGGCCTCCCTGAGCAGCTCCTCCTGGGTGAGTGGTCGATCACAGTGGGGACCCTTCCGCCTCCGCGACTGTCCCTGCCTCTCTTGAACCCGAAGGAAAGTCTGCCGTGTGTGCTCGGCTGTAGACTGCCGCATAGACTTCCGACCTGCAGGAAGTGAGATGGGAAGAAATCTTTTAATTCATTTCTGTAGTCTCTCTCTTTTTTCTTTTTCCTTTCTTTCTTTCCTTTTTTTTTTTTTTCCTTCTTGTTAGACAGGCTTCCAACAATGTAGCCCTGACTGTCCTGGAACTCACTACACAGGCGAGTTTGACCTTGAATTCAGAGTTGTCCCGCCTCTGCCTCTGGAGCACTGGGAGGAAACACATGTGCCATCATGCCCAGCTAAAAATTAAACAAAACCAAAAACCAAACAAACAAACTCAACAATTTAAATTTACAAAAAATATGTAGGTAAAAATTTAAAAAATAATTTAAGCTTATAAAAATGTTAGCAAGCGTAATAAAAATAATGTCTACAGCCTTTAGTCACATCATCTATTGTAAACATCATACCCTGTTTCATTCTGTGGATTACTATTTTTTTAATGACTTAAGAATTAAGTTGTATACAGATTTTCTTAAATATTTTAGTCTTTTTATTTTTTGTGGTATTGGGGATTAAGTATGCTATCACTGGTTACATCTCCACACCTTTTCATAGTTATATTAGTACCTTAACCTTTTTTATTACATTCATCTATGGGGGGCAGCTCATGTGGAAATCAGAGAATTTTCAGGGCTTGGTTCTCTCTTTCCACCATGTGGTCCTAGGGTCAGAACTCAGGTATTAGGCTTGGCAACAAACACCTTTACCTATCGAGACATATTTTTTATTTTGAGACATTCTCACTCAACTGTTGGGTGGCCTTGAACTTGCGATTCTCCTGCTGCAGTCTCTTGAGAGTTCTGATTACAGGCCTGCACCATCAGACCCCGGTCCACTTCTATGAATAAGGATTTCCTGAGCAGAAGAGCCGGCTCAGTCGCTAAAGTGCTTGCTGAGCAATCATGCTCACTGCAGCTCAGACACTGGCACACATATAACAACCTCCCCGCAGATAATGGTAACTCTAGCTCATCTGTTTCTGCATGCAGCATCTGTGCACACAAGCAGGCACATGTATACACATCGACAGGATTCTCCTTACATACAATAGTTATTACCTTAGTAAACATTAACACAGAACATTTTAACTCACTGTCAGAGCCGTCATCCTGTACCTCCAGGGGCAGCAGTGCCTTCTCCTCTCTGGCCTTCTGAGAGCTACTTGCTGGGGTGCTGACCTTTCGAGGTCTCAAGCTTTTTAGAGGCTCCTGGGGACAAATTAGAATCAGACACAAGAAAACATAAGAGATAAGGGTAAAGGTGAGGACTTTATCAGAGAAAACCAGTAAGAGGAGAATACAATTAAGGTAGTCCAAAGAGCACAACACACCTTTAACCCCAGCACATGGAGGCAGAGGCAGGCAAACATCCTTGAGTCTGAGGCCAGACAGGGTTACACAGCAATAAACAAAAAACAAAACAAACCCCACCCGAATCCTACACCCCCCTACCCTGTACACACAAAGGTTCACCTTTGTGTTCACCCTGTACACCAAGGTTCCTTTGTACCTTATAGGCTTTGGTGACAACTCTGCGCTTCCTTCTTGGCTCTTCTGCTTCTCCGTCACTGGATGGTTCATCTCCTTCATCAATGTCAAAGTCAGAGTCTACCTCATCCTCCGTATCAGACTGGTCTCCCTGATACTCATCATCTCCAGATTCCTGAGGACAAAGGGAGATGAGAACTGGCAGGCACCGTTAACGTTCTTGGGGAGGAAGTGGATTAATTCACTCCCCTGACAGGGACTCTTAGAGTCTTTCCTACTTAGCTTTTCACCCCCAGAGACAAAGCCTTTCCAGACGATGGCTCCTAGCTGAGAACCACTGCCTCCCAGAGTTACAGACAACTGGTCTTATCAACTGTAATACCTTATTAGTTGCTGGGGATCTAAAAGATGTGCTTTGGCCTCATTTACTGAAGGACAGGACACAGCTGTGAAAAGCTGAAGCTGAGCCATGAGTCATGGCGGTTCATGACTATAACCCCACACTCAGGAAGCCTAGGCAAGAAGACTGCTGTGGGTTTGAAGGGAACCTGTTTACACAGTGAAGTTTGGACAGCATAAGCTACAGAGTGAGACTTGGAACAAAAACACAAATAAATAAGTACGTTCTAACACAAGGAAACATAAAATTCCTTGGCTAATTAGTGGCTCAGATCAAGCCTAGACTAGAAGAGATGATATTCTCAAAACAGCTAAATGGGGGCTGAGGACATAGTTCGGTTAGTAGAATGCTTGTCTAGCATGAATGAGCCTTGGATTCAATCCCCAACACTGCATTGTCTGGGTGTAGGGTTGCGCAACTGCAATCCCAGGCTAAGTAGGTGGATGCAGGAGGATTACAAGTTCAAAATCACTGTGGGTTGGAGAGATGGCTCAGCGGTTAAGGGCACTGGCTGCTCTACCAGAGGACCCAAGTTCAATTCCCAGCACCCACACGGCAGCTACAACTGTCTGTAGCCTTAGTTCAGGGGCTCTGACACCCTCATACAGGCACAAATGAAGGCAAAACACCAATGTACATAAAAATAAAAACTTAAAAACAACAATAACAAAAACAAATTCAAAGCCATCTTTGGCCATGTTGCTAGTCTGATGCCAGCCTGAGGAACATGAAACCTTGTCTCGAAAACACAGACAGCGGGGCTAGAGAGACAGCACTAATGCACTCTTGGAAGACCTGAGTTCAGGTCTAGGCACCCACACAGCAGCTGACTACCACCTGTAACTCCAGTTCCAAGGGATCCTATCTCTTCTAACATCACGAGCAGTACATACATTGTGTAAAAATAATCACATAAGCAAAACATCCACCACATACAGAAAATAAAAATAAATTGGCATACACTTTTAATAAATAAATAAAAATAAAATAAAATGGCATACACTTTTAATCCCAGCACTCAGGAGGCAGAGGTAGGAGGATTTCTGTGAGTTTGAGACCAGCCTGGTCTACAAAGTTCCAGGATAAGCAGTGTTTTTATATAGAAAAGTTCTGTCTCAAAAAACCAAAAATAAACAAAAATTTAAAAAAATAATACATGAAATAAAAATAAGAACCCCTACACAAATAAGAACAAAAACAGCCAAATGTGGTGACACATACCAGGAAGGATCATGAGTTTGAGGACAGTCTGGGCTTCGCTTTTGGCTGGAACTACAGCTCAATGGTAGAGTGCTTTCTTAGTATGTGATAGACCCTGGGTTCAATCCCTACTGGTGGTTTTTTTTTGTTTTGTTTTTTTAAAAAAACAAAACAAAACTGCAAACTGGGCATTAGTGGCACAGGCCTTTAATCCCAGCACTCGGGAGGCAGAGGCAGGCGGATCTCTGTGAAACCATCCTGTTCCACACAGTGAGTTCTAGAACAGCTAGACCTACTTAGAGAATCCCTGACTCAAAACAACAGTAACCTTTTGTGGCTATTGCTGATTACAGCCGCCAAAATGAAATTCAATCCTTTTGAATTCAGTCAGACTTCTGACTGAAGAACCTCAAATGGCATTTCGGTGCACCTTCTCACATTCGGAGAAGGATCATGTCTTCCCCTCTTCTTTTTGATTTTTCAAGACAAGGTTTCTGTGTGTAGCTTTGGCTGTCCTGGAGTTCACTCTATAGACCAGGTTGGCCTCGAACTCACAGAGATCTGCCTGCTTCTGCCTCCCGAGTGCTGGGATTAAGTGTGTGCTACTACAGCCCGGCTTCGTCTTCCCCTCTTTATAAGAGCTGAGGCAGAGGTACAATGTTCAATCTCTTCCCATTCAATAGGAAGATGAAGTTCAGGTTGTCCAAATACAAAGGCCAGCAGGTTGGCAAAGTGGTCCAAGAGTACAGTGAAAAATACGCCATCTACACTGAGTGAGTGCAGTGAGGAAAAGCTAATGGCATACCTGTCCACGTGGGCATCCACCCCAGCAAGGTGGTTAGCACCAAGCTAAAGCTGGACAAAGACCACAAAAGATCATGAAAGGGAAGCCACGTCTCGACAGTAGGAAAGGAGAAGGACAAACACAGGAAGAAACGATTGAGAAGAGGCAGGAGTAGAAGTGTCTCATATACAACTTCCATTAAAGATGCTTAAGCTAAAAAAAAAGTTGCAAGTCAGAACAGCTTGGCGGTCCAAGAGCCTAAACTTTAGACTTTACTCCTTTACAAAAAGCCAGAGGCTGTGAAAGTTTTCATCTCTTTCTTCAGGATTTTATTTATGTGTGGGTCTGCTGGGTGAGCAAAGGCCCCTACAGAGTTCAGAAGACAGCGCACTGAGCACTGAGCGCAGGAAAAGTGTCAGTGCATTCTCTTCAGCACTGAGCCATCTCTCCAGGACCTGGCTTTGTTTTTCTAAAGACAGTCTCACGGTAGTGAGCCAGATGTGAGCTAACTGAAGCTTGCTGAACCTGTACTAACCTGAAGGACAAAAAGGACATGAGTCTTGATTTAATACATGGTAGTGTTTAAAACAGCCAAGAGGGAAGAATGAATCACAGGTAGGTGGGAAGGCAGACACACACAGCTCTTTATGGGATAAGGATTTAGACCCAAGCACAGAGTTTTCCCCTGCCACAAAACTGTATTAAAGCCAGTGAGATGGCTCAGCAGGTAAAGAAGCTTGCCACCAAGCCCAAAGACCTGATCCCAGGACCCACCTGGTAGACAGAACCAACGCCTAGCCAAGTTGTCCTTTGGCTTTCACGAATAGGGGTGGCACATGACCCTCCCCCACAAATAAATGGCAAAAATGAAAAGGAAAAGAGGAGCATGTTAGCTGACTGCTCTAGTTCCAACAATGACTGTTCTCTAGGTTCAAAAGAAGCCTACCATTTTCCCAGTGGAGAAACATATTTATTGTACGTGGATACATATTTTGCTTGCATGTGTGTATGTGCATGTGTGGGTGTGTACCTAGTGCTCAAGGAGGCCAGAAGGGGAATCAGGTCCTTTAAAATTAAGAGTTATGAATGAGCCGGGCGGTGGCAGCGCACGCCTTTACTACCAGCATTTGGGAGGCAGAGGCAGGCAGATCTCTGTGATCTTAAGGCCATCCTGGTCTACAGAGCGAGTTCCAGGAAGGCAGAGCTACACAGAGAAACCCTGTTTCAAAATATCAAAGAAAATAAAAAAGTTATGATGGCCGTGAACCATCATGAAGGTGCTGGGAACCAAATCCAGGTCCTCTGCAAAAGCAGCAACTGCTCTTATCTCAACTCCAGCCCCTTGGGAAAATTTAAATGTCAAAGTAATAAACTTATAACTTAATCTGATGGCCGGTAGCTCTCAACCCCCTCATCTCCTGACCTATCCCATTGCTGATCATCAGTGCTGAGGTAGTTACTGAGTGAAATGTGTTCTTCATCTGTGTTGGGACAGAAAACCATTTGAATACTACTATAGATAATGGAAGCTGCTGAGGATTTGGGGTACGTACATGGAATATCTGAGAGCTGTGGGTGTGAGAAGGACTAGAGTACAGAACCTGAGGTAGTACAGGTTAAGATTTGAATGGCAGCTACACTGGAAAGGGGGGAAGTCAGCTGTACCGGGTACCTCAAGCAGTGCTCTCTCTTCAATCAGTGATTCAACTAGCGGATTAACTGTGGTACACATGTTGCCAAAGCAAGCAAATAACAAATGGTTGAAACCCCAAGCCAGCCAGAGTTCAGTCCAGCACAAATGACCACCATTTTTCCGGGCTGCTGTGTGAAAGACTCAGAACACATTAACTCCCTCAGCCCTACTCTGCTTTAAGCCACAGCACCAGAGTGGTGGATCAAGTCCCGAGTGCACCCAATCTGAATGTCTCTACTACACTATGGATTTATTGTCGCAGCACTGGGCTCCTTTCCAGAATGCTCTCCATCCACCAAATCCATGATTACTTTAGTTGAACCTCATGTAAGGAAATAATAAGAAATTCTCCCAAGAATTTAATGCTAAATAAGTTTGTCTTTCTTAATACACTGTACACTTCAGTGTTACAAAAGGGCAAATTCAGTCTGGCTGCTAGGAAGCTCACAGCGATCAAATGCCATTTCCATCTTAGCATAGATTCTTGGCACAATTACTTCTGATTTTTGAAAAAAAATTAATATTTTTACTTAGTCTGAAAATTTCATACATTAATACAACGTATTTCGTTTTGCTCATTTTCTATTTTTATTGCTCTTAATTTTCTACTTTAACCTTTCTTAAATCCTTCTTGGAAGCATGAAGTGTACCTATTAAGTAACATCTCATAAAATGACAGGAAGAGGAAAACGAGTATTGGAGGACAGATGAAGAGAGATCTATTTTAAACTAGTTTACTAAAGCTGTATACACAGAAGCTCCTAGTTAGTCATAAAGTCTTGTCTACTCTTTTTTTCAAAGAACTTCCTTCAACCCTACAACACTGTCCCATACCCTCCCTTCTTCCCATAGTGCTGGGAATGGAACCCAGGTCTTCAGGCACGCTAAGCAAATTAGCCCTGAACAACAGTGACATCCTCAGCTAGCCCTTGTCCATGTTTCTTTTCTGTCCCTGCCCTCTTTACGCTTATCTCATTAGTTTTACACACACACGAGTCAGGTCGGGACTGGTAACACAGTCCAGGTGGCCTGGAACTGGAGATGACCCGGCTGTCCACCTCCCTGAGATTACCAGCTCTAGAGTAATCTTTTTTCCGTTTTATTTTTAATGATGGAACTTTGATGCCTCATCTCAGACCTCGAGATGAGAAGTCAACCTGCTTAATGCTGCCTCCCTGTCCCATGGTATCTGATGGGAGATGGGAGGGGGACACCGAGGGCAGTAACAAGTGCCTGCAATTCCAGGACTCAGGAGTCTGAGGCAAAAGGCAGCCACAACTTTGAGGTTGGCTAAGTAAACCCATTAAAAAAAAAAAACGACATAAGGCCAGGCATAGTGGCGCACGCCTTGAACCCCAGCACTCAGAGTGAAACGCAGGTGAATTTCTGACTTCCAGGACAGTCTGGTGTACAAAGCGAGCTCCAGGGCTACATGGAAGGTGGTATTCCTGGGAGGGGGCACCTAAGCTGGGCATGGAAGCATGGAAGGGGGGAGAATGCCTGTGAGGCCAGGGTGGTCTACATAGTGAGCTCCAAGACAGGGCCATGTAGAAAGTGAGTTCCAGGACAGCCAGGACTGTTACAAAGAGAAACCCTGTCTCTAAGAAACAAAACAAAACAAAACAAAACAAAAACCAAAACAAATTCAGCTGAGGTCTACACCCTCTAGCCATACCAATCTTTGTTCTCCCAGAGAACAAAAGCAGCCACCTTGGTCTCAGGCCAGGACTCCAGTGCCTCCACACACTCTATTTCATCTTCTTCTCCCCCACTCTTCCTCCAACCAAGGTCTGCTTTTTATAACGTCCTCTGTTTAAATTTCCCCGTGAGTGCTTATCCTTACCCACTCTGGGGCCTTCATATGGCTCAGTGGGTGAAGCAATCTGCTGTACAACCCTGACCACCCCGGTTGATGCCTGGGGCTCTTAGGATGGACGGAGAGACCGAATTCCTGCTGCCCTCGGATCTTCATTTGCATGCACACAAATAAAATGTAATTAAAAAAAAAAAACAAAATGCAAACCTCTCACCTGTTACCATAGCATCTCACATTTCCCTGACTTTAAGTCTTTATCATAAAGTATTAAGATACTTGAGTCAAAAAAAAAAAAAACCTACAAAAAAAAAGTATTAATTGACTGAGAATCCAGACAATTCCCCTGCAAGATGGAGCTGGTAACACAGGATTTAGGGCTTACTAGGCAAGTGGTCTATCACTAACCCACAAACTATAGTTCCAACTCCGGGGCAGTTTTTAATGTTTCCAAGGGGCCATCACAACCTATCACATATGGTACGCTGACCTGGGTGCTCAACATATATTCAATCAATGAATAGTTTCTGTTAATAAAAATTTAGCCAAGAGTCAGCCCCGGACGTAAAAAAACTGAACTCTAATGTTACAGACCTTACAAACCAACCAGATAATGAAAAGAAGCCAAATTTAACTAGACCAAAATTTTGTTTCTATGATGAAAATAAATAGGGATTCTGTTAGAACAGCCAATAAAAGGGTCATCTAAGAATACTGTACAGGGGTTTGAAAGCTGCAAACGGAGTATGCTAATTAAGCTTCTGTTTCTGAAGTGGTTTCTTCTTGTAAATAACCCGACAGCAGAACAAGAAAACTGCAAAGCCGACACACAGACACAAAGACAGAGAGACACACAGTGTTCCTCCCGACTCCGCCGTGCAGTCAGGAGCATTAGCTCTCAGAACACCTCTCTACTCCCCGCCCCCTTCTTCTTTGTCCAGGGTTTTTCCCTTCGAGCCTCCGCTTCCTCCCCTCCCTCTTCCTGGGCCCGGCTCTTGCCTCTGTGAAACCCCCGTAAGTCGTCTGGTAGAACTCATCTTCCTCCTCGGCTTCCAGGAGCCCGGAAAGCCGGTTCCCAGCGGTCTTCCGAGGGGCCCGGCCCCCCGCCAAACTCATGCTGCCCACGGAGAGAGGGCTGCCATCCGCAGCCCCTAGCTCAGCGCCGGTTCGCGGAGATCGGCGCTCCACACTAGTTCCTATGCGCGGCAGCCAATGGCGGAAGTCCGGCGTCTACAGGCAAAAGCAGCCGAGTGTCGAGCGGTTCTAAATCCAGCCTCTAAATCCTCTCCTCAAGGCTGTCCTGGCCACTCTTAGGCAGAGCCTAGGAATAATATCAGGAATTCCCCTCTACGCCACCCACTTTTTTGTTTGTTTGTTTGTTTCAGACAGGGTCTCACTGTATAGTCCTGACCGGCCTGGAACTGTATGCAGAGCAGGCTGGCCTCCAACTCATACAGAGTCTGCTACCTCTGCCTCCTGAGTGCTGGAATTAAAGGCTCCTCACCAAGCTCCTTTCCCCCATCAGATTTTAATACCAGGAGCCTTTCTAAAAATTCTGGCTTTTTCACTTCCTCTAAAACTGCAATGACAGTTACTCCTATACTCTCCGCAACTATAGGGTAGAAGAATCACAAATTCAACGCATGCCTAGTTAGCACAGTAGAATTGTTTCAAAATTTAAAAATATGAAAAGAAGGCTGGGTGGAAGTGTGCTTGTTTAGCATATATGCTCCCTGGATTTTATCGCTAGCATGTTCAAAACCAATGTTATTGTCATTAAGAACAGAACTTGAAGCCTGCTGGTGGTGGAACACACCTTTAATTCCAGCACTAGCGAAGCAGAGGCAGGTGGATCTCTGAGTCCCAGGCCAGTCAGGGCTACAGAAGGAATTCTGGGACAGACAAAGCTACACAAAGAGGTCCTTATCTTGAAGCAAACAAACAAACAAACAGAACAGAACCTTAAAAACAGAGGTGGTGGCGGGCATCTGTAACCTCTAGGATTTGAATGTCTGAGGCAGGAAGATCACAATTTGTGGCCAGCCTAGACAACCATAGGAGGTTCCAGGCCAGCCTCAGTCACATAGGAAGCTTTTGTTGCCAGGTGGTGGTGGCGCAGGCCTTTAATCCCAGCACTGGGGAGGCAGAGTCAGATGGATCTTTGTGAATTCAAGGCCAGCCTGGTCTATAGAGCTAGTTCCAGGACAGCCAGGACTGTCACACAGAGAAACCCTGTCTTGAAAAACCAAAAAGCAAAAGCAAGCTTTTGTCTAAAGAAAGAAAAACAGCATCAACCCACAAGCAACTAAGTCCCTGGCCTGCACACCTTTTTAATTCCAACACACAGGAAGCAGAAGCTAGGGATCTCTATGAGTTGGAGATCTATGCTTGTTCTACAAAACAAGTTCTAGGTCAGCCAGGGCTACAAAATGTGACTCTGCCTCAAAACAACAATAAGAAAAACAAACAGCGGCAGCACCAACAAAAGCCCAGTGTGGTATTTGAGACTTGTAATCTCAGCGCTTGGCAGGAAGACTGAATTGGGAGATCTGGACGAAACAAAATAAATCCATAGACTTAGCGTGACTCACACTACTCTCCGGAAAGGCGGCTGTCCATTTCTGAACGTCACATTTTTCACCTGTAAAGTGAGGCGTGACTGTTAAGGTGAAAGGCTACAACTCTTGGGAGCTGTTCAGCACAGCTTTAGTAAGTTTATAGTAAACCTTAGCAGGAAGCTACCCTTAGCATAAATGTCTAGGTCAGTGATTCTCAACCTGTGGGTCGCGACCCTCTCTCAGAGGTTGCCTGAGGCCATTAGAAAACATAGATGCTTACATTACAACTCATAACAGTTATGAAGTAGCAATGGAAATAATTTTAGGGTGGGCTATCAGCACATGGGGAACTGTATCAAGGGTCACAGCATTAGGAAGGCTGAGAGCCACTGATCTAGGTCCCTCACATTTGTCTTCTTATCTCTGCAGATCTAACTCTGGCTCCGTTGTCCGGTTTTGGTGTCACTCTCCTACCACGCAGCTCTCTGTCACTCCAGGGTTCCCTTTGCTTTAGCATTTCTTCCCTCTCTATCATAGGACGGTGAGGAGTTCCCAAACACCCATTCTTCTCTTTCTAGACACAGCTTCCACAATCATGGAAAGGGTGTTTCCTAGAGTCTCGGAAATAGTTCCAAATTCAAATAGTCTGTGTTGTCAAGACTGTGTCAACTTTTGTTTTCATGGTTTGTTCTGAAAATACAGTTAAGAAATACACTACTCAATGGGCTGGGGAGATGGCTTAGTGGTTAAGAGCACTGGCTGCTCTTCCAGAGGACCTGGGTTCAATACCCAACACCCACATGGCAGCTCACAAATGTCTGTAACTCTAATTCCAGGGGCTCTAACACCCTCACACAGACATACGTGCAGGCAAGACACCAATGCACATGAAATAAAAATAAATAAAAAATTAAAACAAAAGAAATATAGCACTCAGACAATTCCATGCTAATACTTATTAATTTTATTCCAGTGATTTATGGTCCTGTCCCTATTTGTTTGTAAACTTTTATTTTCTTTGTTTGTTTGCTTTGTTGTTGTCTTTGAAACAGGGTATCACTATGTAGTTCTGGCTGTCTTAGAACTCTCTCTCTTGATCAGGCTGGCTTTGAACTCATAGAGGTCTGCCTGCCTCGGCCTCCCAAGTGCTAGAGTTAAAAGCATACACCACTATAACTGGCATTTTTTTTTTTTTTGGTTTTTCAAGACAGGGTCTCTCTCTGTAGCTTTGGAGCCTGTCCTGTAGACCAGGCTGGCCTTGAACTCACAGAGATCCACCTACCTCTGCCTCCCAAGTGCTGGGATTAAAGGCAAGAACCACCACTGTCAGGCCCATTTTAAAGAATATATTTAAAAATTTTATTACATTTTTAAACTGTGTGTCTGTGTTCACATGTCAGGTCAAAAGGCAACTTCAGGAATTGGCTCTCCCTTCTTACTATGTGGACCCTGGGACACAAAGTCAAGTCAACAGGCTGGATGGCAAATACCTCTACCCACAGAGTTTTGTTTTATGAGATAGGGTCTTATTGTGTAACCCAAGCTACCTTGGAACGCAGTAGTAACAAGGCCAGTCTTGAACTGGTCTGCCTTGGTATTTTGACTGTTTCATGGTACTAGGTTGAAGGAAAATTTTTTTTTCCATTTGGGTGTTTTTTTTTTTTTTTTTCTTCATTGCTGGGAATTGAACCCAAGGTTCCAGGAATGCTAGGGCTCAACTACTGAGGTACATCCCACGTGAGGAGAGAGGTTGAATCTGTCTGTATTAGGAATTCTGAGTACCTGGGATAAAGCTGGGGCTAGGTAATTAATGAAAGACTAACTAAATGAAATAAGGTACTCATTCTTTTACTGTTTCTTTCATTGTTGTTTGTTTTTTTTTTCAGGGCCAGGAATTAAATCGAGGACCTTGTACAAAGCAGGGAAGAGGTGCTTTGATAAAACCTACTCACAGGAACTCGAGAGGGAACGGGTGGCCCCACTTTGAGCTCACCAAATGCCTGCTTCCCGAAAGTATGTACCAATGAACACCCTTTTCCATTTCCTCAGGAGAACCAAGCCCACGCATTCTGCTCTGCCCCGTTCCACACCTTGCCACATCACCCCAGTCCTGCTATGCCAGGAATGTTGCTGGGGAAGAGAAGAGCCCTGACTCAGAGGACACCTCGAGCACTGGGGAGTTTGGGCAGAGAGACTTACGATAAAATGCTTCTTCAACATTCCTATCTTTCCTTTTTGTTGTATTTATCCTTGAGACAAAGATATGCTATTTTGCCTAATGCTTAGGCTGTTCTGGAAATGAAAAAATTTCCCTAACCTTCTGAGTAACTGGGACCTCAGGCATGTACCACCACCACACCTAAATCTTTAAACAATAATTTTATTATTGTTATTATTATTTTAAGACAAGGTTTCACCATGTAACTCTGGCTGTTCTGGAACTGGCTATGTTATCCAGGCTAGCTTTGGACTCACAGACATCAGCCTGATTTTTGCCTTCAAAGTGCTGGGATTGAATGCATGTGCTATCATGCCTGGCTCCACTATATCGTAATTCCAATTCTTAATTCCACTTTTTGAATTTCACCTTCCCCCATTTATATATTTAGAAAATATATTTTGGGAACTTAGTGAGTGCCAGGCATAGTCTACATTCTTCAGCTGTAAAAACGAAAAGCATCACTTTGCTCTAAAAAGTTCACACTTTTTAATCCCAGCACTCAGGAAGCAGAAGCAGGTGGATCTCTGTGAGTTTGAGGCCAGCCTGGTCTACAGAGTGAGTTCCAAGACAGGTTCCAAAGCTACAGAGAAACCCTGTCTCGAAAAACCAAAAAAAAAAAAAAAAAAAAAAAAAAGAATAATCTTATGAGGGAGACACACTTGAAGGAAGAGCACAAGGTAGGCGGGTTACAGCAGCATTAGGTGGGCAGGTTACAGTGACATTAGGTGGGCAGGTTGCAGCAGCCATTTTGTGGTACTCAAGGTAGAAACAAAGTTGACTAGGAAGCTGTAAAATGGATTTTTTTCCTTCAGGCCTGAAACAAGGATTATAGGAAGAAAATTCTGTTCCTAACTGTCTTAGTCATTCAGGTTTTAATGGTCTATTTGCAATTTCAAAATCAGAAATAGCTTTAATGTCTCCCTCAGCTGATTTTTAGAGCAATTTGGGAAATGTTATCAATTAAGTGAATTTACACTTAATTTATTTAGTGTGTGCACTCATGTATGTGGAGGTCAGAGGAAAACTTGAGTGGATCAATTCTCTCCTGTACCACCTCTTTTCTTGAATTTTTTTGGTTTTCCCGAGACAAGGTTTCTCTACATACTAGTCCTAGCTGTCCTGGAACTAGCTCTTGTAGACCAGGTTGGTCTCAAACTCACAGAGATCTGCCTGCCTCTGCCTCCCTAGTGCTGGGATTAAAGGCATGTGCCACCAGTGCCTGACTGGATCAATTCTCTTATCCCACCATAGTGAACCAGGGACAGAACTTGGATCATCAAACTGATGAGTCGTCTTGACAGTCCCCAGGCAACTGAAAGCCTGTTCTGGAAATATGAACAATTTATTCAACAGTATTTACTGAGGACCTGTGAGACAGATCCTATGTTTCACCCTAATTCCAGTGCTGTTCAGTTG